GCGTCGACCTCCGTGACACCGACCTCGGTGGCGTCAGCGTCCATAGCGCGGGCTTGGTGAAGATGAGCTCCGGCGACACGTCGTCCTCATCGAGCGGCGATGAGTGGGGGTGGCCACTGTGGCATCGACCTCCGGGGCATCGACCTGGTGACCTCGACGGTGGGCGGCGTCGTGGCGTGCTCTGTGTCGTCGTCTTGGCCGAACCGTCGTGACGAGGTGGACAGCAGGTGGTGATGACGACCTCCTCGTCGTTCTTTGTGGTGCTGGCTTGGTGAAGACCATCCCCGGCAACGTTGACTTCGTCGACCTCATCTTCCAGTCCGGCGGCGGTCCGATCATGCGAACTTCGCGTTCGGCAACGCTCCCGGCTTGTGTGCGTGCATGCTGTATGCGTGGAAGAAGGAGAGAAGTGAGAAGGGTGGGTTAGATCAAAGTTTTACCCTCGGGGAAGGTGAGCTTCACGTCCATGTCACAGCCGCCGAGCTCCCTGTACGCCGGCCTCCTCTCTCCGTGTACGCCGGCTCGGGTGCCTGCGTCCTTTCTCCTGCCGGGTAGATGCGAGCCAGTGCGTGAGGGAGTTCCTCTGCAGGCTTGCGTGATGAATGAATGGAGTGCTGCGTGGTGGATGGATGGGTGCTTGAGGTGTTGTGCGATGGATGGGTGCTGAAGGTGTTATGCGATGGATGTGTGCGTACGTCAGTTGCCTTCATAATGGGTGTGTACGTGAGCCCCCTCTGCGTAGCTAGGTGTGTGTATTTATAGGCAGGAGATGGGCGACCCGGCGGATGGAGACGGGCCAAACGTCCCGATTTTCTTGGACTAGATATGGATGCAATCTCCCCCCGAATCTTATCATCTCGCTGATGTTTATCTTTCTTCTTCTTGACGCGTACGCCTGCACACAGAAAATGAAAACCGTCTCATGCGTACCTAGCTAGCTGACTGACGGTGGGCCTGGTTCCTTCGATCGTCACCTTCATGCTTATCTCCGGTGTTTGCTAGTTGAAATAATCACAGGTATTCAAGTACGTATATGCGCGCTTGCCGGCCGGTATATATGGCACTTAAAGAAATACGCATACTGTATGTAATCTTGTGGGTGCGCCGTAGATATGGACTCAGCCTTCTGATTGTAACCTGCATGTGTGTATAAGTCTATGCCACGGAGCATCAAGTGCAAGTATACATTGGTTAGTACGTGAGCAAACTCAAAATGCATGCATGCACGTACCATTGCATCGAGGATTGCCTAATGCGTGTGTGTACGTATACACTCAATATAAAACATAGATGTGCATAACTTGCAATTAAAAGAAGAAAAAATATATTTATACTTATATATTCTGAAAATAGTAATCACAAAAATACGTCGAACACTGGTGAAGATGTTGATGGAGATTGACCTCCTCCCAATGAGAGGATCGATGGTGGTGACGATGGTGATGATTTCCCCCTCCCGAAGGGAAGTTTCCCCGGCAGAACAGCTCCGCCGGAGCCCTAGATTGGTTCCGCCAAGGTTCCGCCTCGTGGCGGCGGAGTTTCGTCCCGTGAGCTAGCTTATGAATTTTTCCTCGACGAAAGACTCCATATATCCAAAGATGGGCATCAGAGGGCTGCCAGGGGGCCCATGAGGCAGGGGGACGCGCCCAGGGAGGTAGGGCGCGCCCCCACTCTCGTGGATGGTTGGTGGCCCCCCTCTGGTACTTCTTTCGCCCAATATTTTTATATATTCTGAAACGTGCTCCCGTGAAGTTTTAGGACTTTTGGAGTTGTGCAGAATAGGTCTATAATATTTGCTCCTTTTCCAGCCCAGAATTCTAGCTGCCGGCATTCCCCCTCTTCATGTAAACCTTATAAAATAAGAGAGAATAGGCATAAGTATTGTGACATAATGTGTAATAACAACCCATAATGCAATAAATATCGATATAAAAGCATGATGCAAAATGGACGTATCACTGCTTGATTGTATTCAATGAGTATAGGGGTTACAAGAGTTGATCTACCTCGAGATCGTAATGGCTAAACCCTAGTTGTCTAGCCTATGAGAATTCTGGTGATCTCTACGGACTAACCCCTCCGGTTTATATACACACCGGAGAGGCCTAGGGTTATACAGAGTCGGTTTGTAAGGGAAGGAAATAACATATCTGGACACCAAACTTGCCTTCCACGCATGTAGGAGTCTTACCCGGGCACGGGGGAAAGTCTTCTACTTTTATCTTCACGGTCCATCAGTCCGGCCCATATCAAATAGTCCGGGGCCCCGAGACCCCCCTAATCCAGGACTCCCTCAGCGGGAACCTGTCAATACCTTGTCACACATTCTGAAGACGGCACACCAAATTTGACCACAGTCCATAAGCGGCTGAGTTCAAGGACTTCTTCAGGGGCTAGTGACGGTGCCATGAACCCAGGGTACCTAGCGCCACTGGAAGTCTCCCACCAGACCGGTTTGTAGCCCACCATGCATCCCTTGGTCTGGGACGACATCTCCACCTGTAGGCCTCCAAGACGAAGGAATCGGCATGCCATCCAAGGCAAGCCAATCCAAAGATCGCGGAGGACTCTTCAAACCACCTTAGCCGACTAGATTTCTATGTAACCATAGGCCTCGGTACCCTTTATAAGTCGAGGGCGGGTTAGTCGACATGCACCTTACAATCTCATCATCACCTCTCGATACACCATTGATCACCATTGTACTTTGTACATCCCCATCAGTCTGCGTTTGTACTTTGTTAGAAAAAAACATACGTCGTAGGAGCCAACCTTGATAGGTCCAGGTACTCTCCGCCCTAGCTATCCAACCATTGCTCTCTAGTTCCATGTTTCACTTTCTATCCACCACCCCTTCGTCCAACATCGATTTTTTGGTAACTAAACAAAAAGGAATAAATTCTCTATTTGTAGACAAATAATATCAATCAGTCTCTTATCTTTGAAAACCTAATAAAGCAGATCAATTACAGGCACATACCTATTTTACCAGTTTAATACTCCATGCATCTCAAAATATGTGTCTAACTTTGTATTGAAGTTGCGAAACGCTTCCCTGGCAATCGACACGAGACATAAAAAATTGAGACACTTGTTGAGACGGAGGAGTAAATGATAAAAAAATGATGCTTTATATAACCAAAACATTATTGTATTTATCTATTTATTTTGCATCAAGATTTGTCCAATATAACCATCTTATTGTGTTAATAATTATATTTTTCCGCATGGCAACGCACGGGCACATACGTAGTAAGAGAAAAAGGAAAAACTTTCTGCACTAAAATGGTTGGTGTTCAGAAATCACAATACAATTTTTAGCTTCCATCAGGGAATACAGGTCAAGCACATGTACTCTTCGGCGCAAATAATAAATCGGAAATCACAGGCAACACAAACTAGCGGCAACGTGACGTCTGCAAGAACAAAGACATCGCAGCTTCCCCAGGCGCGGCTTCGGCGCCCTTTCAGAAACCTTCATTCGATCTGTGCAACGAGAAACACCCTCGTCTGAACTTACTGTCACCCTAGCAGACGATCTCGTCTCAGTACTCTATCGAGACCGTCCACGAGTAGAGCTCCCGCTCCGGCACGCCGACCTCGAACGTGGCCAGGCCGGAGCCGTCGTTGTAGGAGAAACCAACCGCCTCCGAATCCACAGCCACGCGCTTCGGCCTCGCCGAGGAGTAGGCTCCAACCGTGCCCGCGCCCCGCACCTTCACCTCCACGCCGGCGTCGCCGCCGTGCCTCACCTCCGTCACCGCCCCGCCGGAGTTGAACATCCCGATCAGGCCGATGGGCGCGAAGGAGGCGCCGTTCGGCAGCCACTTCAGCGGCACCACGGTGAACACCTCGTACTCGCGCGGCTTCAGCGTGACCGGCAGCGCCGCGTCCTTCGGCAGGACGGTCACCTCCCCTGAAGAGAAAGGAGAAGAAAAAGGCAGGACTCACATCGCTCGTCAGTTAGTCCAAGATCACAACGACGCGCTGGTTCTGGTTGAAGGATGCTTTACCTGCGACGTGCGAGTACACGACCACGTCGCCGTTCCAGCCATCGCCGGCGACCTCCAGAAGGCGGCTGACGTCCCGTCCCCGGACGGCCCCGGTGATGGTCCCGGGCTGCACGTCGTGGATGACGTTCTTCTTCCCTTCTCGGCACCAGCCGGCGCCTTGGCAGTTGAAGGCGCCGATCACGCCGGAGTGCGCGTTCAGGTTCCAGATCTTGAGAATGCTGCAGTCCACACCAAACGGTTCAGAGAAATTCAGAACCGTGTCAGGGTCGTCAACTAGTAGAAACAAAGTTGGTTGCTGCAAGTTCTAACCTTTTGCCGTCCCTTGCGGGATCAGAGAAGAGGCAGTCCCCGGTCGGTCTCCCGGGGAGTTTGGCTCGCAGGATCGATCCATCAGGAAGCACAAGCTTCCTCAGCAGATCGAAGTCATGGTTTCCGGGTTTGTCACTGCCATGATCACACGCACAGTTAGCATCAAAGATATCTTTCAGTTTCAGCACATGAAAATGAAAAATTTGATAATTGTCTAAAGATATACACGTATGGAAAAGCTGAAAGTTCTCTACTGCTCTGTAATGTTCGTTACCTCACGTATATAGCGCAACCGCCGACTGCCCGCGCCGCAGCATGATATTCCGCCATTGGGTGAACGCTCTATCAGCACGACAATGAAAAGAAGCTTACAAGTTCAGGCACTACATGATCAAGAGTAGTAAGCAAGAGAGCAGAACAGAGCAGTGATTCTCACTCACATGGAACATGTCCCAGTCCGGCTGCATGAACTCTCCAAGAAAAACAGTATTGTACGCGACAGAAGCGATGTGTATGGTATGTGAAGCTGGGTCTCTAGGCCAGAAATCATCAGAGGCTCTCACAACCGCGTTTCTTTTTGAACTGTAGCAAAGATCAACCGTATATTTTCAGGCAATTGCACCAAGCTTGAGTGAGTATATGTAGTTTCAATAGCAAAAAAAGCGTACCTGTATAAGTTATCAGTGTTGTGGCTCATGCAACATATTATACCGTTATCGTGGAAATTCCATGCGATGGAAGCTTCTAGAGCCTGCTGGTACTTCCTAGACAGACGCACTCTCCCACCATGGCCACCGCCTAGCGCCTCGAGAATGTTCTGCACGTCTACTTTCACGCCGTCGACCCCGGCAGATGCAAGATATGAATGGAGCTCATTGTAGAAGCTGAATGCTTTGTCAGGGTCCACAAGGCCAAGGCCGTTATCTGCTATGCTGTTGAAGGCCTCGCAGGGTTCGTTCTTCTGGACTCCTGGTGATGGCACAGGGTATTGCATCTTTGATTGGTAATGCTCCATCCCGTCGGCACCGGGCCTTACGCCACCCCAATACCCGGTAATCGCATGCCATACATAAACGTACCTGAATTTTGGCATGAGAAGTATTAAAGATGAGAACTGACACAAATTTATCATGCTGTACGAGGCAACAAACAAACAAGTGTCATCATACTTTAGCTCATGTTTCCCCTTAATTTCACTGACAATATGCGCGAGGCCATTTGCTGGATCTTCTTCCCTGTGACCCTTCCTCCCATTTTTCTGAAATTTGTGGTTCTCCTTGATATCATATAATCTGTTTGCGAAGCTATAGATACAGGACAAACAAATATCAGTGATCGCGACTGCAAGACAGGTAAAGATTGAGAAAAAAATTCTTCTTGGCTGCTTACTTGGCTGCATTATCAGATACGAATGCACTTCCAGCAGGGTCCATACTGACCGATTGCCACCCATCATCGATTATGACAAACTTTGGAGCTGTTCCACCTTTTTCAAAACTGGGGAAAAAAATACAAAAATACATTATGGAATTTCAGTACGATTCTCATATGGTAAGCATAGTATCGGCGGAAATATACGAGATCGGAAAGACACCTCCTTAGTCCTTCCTTCACTCCTTCAGCGGTAACATCAGTGTAAAATGCATCCCATGTGCACCAGCCAAACCAGTTTAGCATGTCTGGCATCTGCAGCAAGGTGAGAGTTTTAGAGGCACTGAAATAGCAAGGATGCAAAAATGCATACGATACTGTGTACTACTACAGGAAGGTACCTTCTTTTTTTCCCTGTGAGAGAATGTCTGCAGGTGCCTCTCAACTGCTCTGCAAAAGGACAACTCATGTGATGTCAGTGAGAAAGCAGTGCATTCATGGAAAGCAGTTGGTGTATTTGATCAAGAGAAGTGTAGGGTACTAAAATAGAAGATTAATTACAGAAAATATTGGCATACTTGACAGCATTTGTGATGACCTCAAACGGATCTGATCCCGCACCGACGAAAACTAGATGGGTGCCTTCAAATGATTCTACGGCTGGATCACCTGCAAAAAAGAAAAAGAAAAACAAGAGTACTATTATACATCATGAAACAACTGTGCTCAAGTCAATGGAGAAAAGTTTCCATGATTGTCTGAATTACCACTCTCCAAGCAAATTTCCAGCTCATTATTTTCGTTCCCCTGGAGTACAGCTCGGAATGAGCCCTCCAGGATCGGGAGGAAGACGGTGTACACCGCGGATTGCTCGTCTCCGGCGCCGTCGGCAGCCTCGACGATCAGGAACTGCGTCTCGGCGGGGATGTCGCGGCCCGACGAGCCCATCCTCTGTGTCATCCACCACATCTTGAACCTGAACGTGCACATGAATCGCAGGTCCCTGAAACACCAGCATGCCACATATTCTTTCAGTTCAGCCAATTCTGTAATCTTTAGTACGAGTTAACTATAGTAACATAAATACCAAGAATTCATTTTTGCCACCCAAGGGTCCTTGGTTGTTTACTTTCTATTTCAGGGGAAAATAACTGTAATGGTAGGACCCAAAACGTTATTACTGAGTTGAGGATTTCCTTTCATCAACATCAACAACAAAAAAACAGTTCCCAACTACTCTTCTTGAACAGTAATTTTGAATTGAAGTGAAACACATCTTTTTTCACATATATTCCTCCGTCACAAAATAAGTGTCTCAAGCTTAGTACAACTTTGTACCAGAGTTAGTACAAAGTTGAGATAGAGATTTTTCTTTCTGTTTTTTAAAAAAAGTGTGGAAACTTTTACCGAACATCTGAAAGTTTTACCTTTCAGGAGTTACTCCTGTTTACAAAAAGTCAAGAGAAGACAAGATTGCAAACTGCAGTACTACTGCATAGTGGTTCATTGCACTCCAACAGAATCATTTTGTCTGAATCTAGATCCTTGCACATGGCAGACATCAGATAAGACACGCTTCTAATCGTTAAACAAATGACAGAACACCGCTCGGACAAGACAAAACAGCTGAAGGGAGCTGAGGAATCGCATGAGCAACGGAGAACGCCAACAGCGCAGCTCACCTGAGCTTGCCGACGGGGAAGACGCTGCGGCTGGCGGCGGGGGCCGACCGGACGCCGAGGAACGCGCCGTTGAGCATGCCGCCCCCGGCGGCCGGCGTGACGAGCACATTGTCGCGCACCTCCGTCAGGACCGTGGCCCCCAGCGCCGCCAGGCTGCCGTCTTCCTGGACCGCGATCCCGGCTCCCACCGTCATCTTCCTCCCCCGCACCGCGACCCTCCAATCAAAGCACGTAAGTAGATTTACGACGGCGGGGATCTGCGGGTGTGGTGGCGCGGCGCGCGGTTGTGGTGTTGAGACAGCCGAGTGCGCTCTCCTGGTTTTATAGCCGTCGGGGTGGGGATCTTTTTCGGTTCGACCCCCGGGGGAGTAGAGATGATCATCATTTTTATTTATTTTTGCAAGTAGCGACGATTTTGTTTTTGTTTTTGCGAGGAGTAAGTAGAGATGATCTGCAATTGAAAGGTCTGCGCTGCCTCGTGCCTTTTTTTTAAAACGCTATAGACATAGATGCTTACATACATGCACATACATTCATTCTTTAAACGCACGCGCACTCTCTATCCACATGAGCATTCTATTGTTTATTCTTTTTCTCGAAGGTAAGAGGGTTCGAATGCAGATTCAAACTCACCATGTAAGGGGGAAGCAGAATTGATTACCTTCTCAGGCGAAAGACGTGAAATTTCTAATGCAAAATCTAACTCTCCTTGGTAGTGGAGGTGGATTTTTTTTTAATTTTTTAGAATAGGAGGATGACTCCCGGCCTCTGCATCTAGGAGATGCATGCGGCCATTTTATTGAACAATAATATGTCTAAATCCGTCATCTTGGCAACATCTACCGTTACTTCTATCCTTTCGTGATTGGAAGGTGAAAATGGCTAAAATTTTGTGATTGGAAGAAAACATGGCCAGAAATTTCGTGATTATAGATGCCCTGTTCCCCAACTTTTCCAATATAAGGCATGTTATTCCGTGCACACGCTTGCATCATGATATGGTGGATCGGATGAATGAACTCGGGATCAGTGTGATAGGCAGCGTGCGGCACACGAGCACAACTGACAAGGGCCCCGGCCGGTGCAACGCATCGCATCGCATCACGTCCTGAGTCGAGGCCGGACCACCCCCGCCCACGCATATGAATATGGAAGCTGGCTACAGTGGGCAGTACGAGCATCACTTTTTGCGGGGCCGAAATATGCGAGCGCTTGAGTAGTGTGCATATATACCTCTCGCTGTGCTTATCATGTGTTTTTTTTTTCGTATAAAAAATGGAGTAAAAACAGGGCATCGCCCCGGCCCGGTTCCATTGATCACGACTGTGCTTATCATATATCTGGGGATTCCCATGACCGTGAATCGGCGCTCCACGTGAGATCCGACTCACGACGCTGACTCGTCGGATATTTCAACATTTTTTTAGGGACGCTTGAACATTATTAACGGGGTACGTTTCCTACGTTTTTCAATGTTTGAGGTAGGTACGTTTCCTACGTTTTTTAATTTCTGATGATGAAGTGGGTACGTTTCTACGTTTGGAAAAAGATAATCTCTCGTTTTGATTCCGGACGCTGCGCCGGCCGTCCGTGGTGCTCGGGCCCAGGAGACCGTGGGTGAGTGGGTACCTATTCCCGTGACCGGTGAGCATGAAGGAATGTGATGCGCGCGCCGCATCTGCGCCGTGCTGCTCTGTTGCCTGCTTTGGGATTGGTGGCCCGAACCCGCCGACCGCAGACGCAGAGGTTTGTTGCTTCCCAAAGCACACCAGCCAGGAGAACGGCGGCTACGTACTCTGTCCGGTCTTTTTTAGTTCGCATATAAAATTTGTCTGAAATCAAACCTCGTAAACTTTGATTGAATTTCTAGAGAAAAATACCAATATTCAGACTATGAAAATCAACAACACTAGATGCGTCATGACTTTGGTTTTCATATTGCATAAATTTAGTATTGTGGACATTAATATTTTTTTCATATAAATATGATCAAACTTTATGAAGCTTGACTTCAGACAATTCTTATACGCGGAGTAAAAAGGGCCGGAGAGAGTATTGTCCTAAACAAACATAAACGCGTGATCTATGAGTGTAATTTTCAGAACAGAAGCAAGAAAATATCTACTCTTTCCATTCGATTGATAAACAGCGTCGATCTTTTTTGAGAAACACACTACTATGTTGACAATCACAACACGTGCACACGCTCTATCCAGAAACACCTTCGAGAGGCTGCGCTGGTGGATCTTGAAACTAGCAAAGCTTCCATAGACCAGAGATTAGGGCATCTCCAACAACGTCCCTTAAATGGTCCGCAAACATCTGAACTGAACTGTTCGAACATTTGTTTCATCCAATATGGTGCAACAAATGTCCACGGACGCGTCTGCGCGTCTGAATTTCCGGAAACCGGCCACAAACTTGGCGATGTTTGCGGGAGTCCGGATGTCCGTCGTGTAGGACTTCGACACTCATGGTCCACTAAAACCCCCTCTCTCTCGGACCACTTTTCTCCCACTTTGTTTCTTCCCCCCTTACTCTATATCTGCACACTCCTAACCCGGCATCGTCTTTTCCCAAAAAAAACGGTGTTGTCACTGTATCACTTCGGGCACCACACATGCCTTGTCGAACGTCTTTCGACCTCCCATGCGCCTGCCCGCCTTCGACTATTCTTCGTCCACCCTGGATTCATCCGCAGCCAGGTATCCTCCACCCCTTGCCGATGACATCCATGTCGGACACCCATGCCCGGCAAGCGTTCGACCAAATGTCGTTGAACTTTGTTTTTTTTTTTTGCGTTCTCGTTTGTTTCTTTGGAGCAAGCACAATGGTGGTGGTACTTCGGTGATGGAGGGTGAGTTACTGTGTGATACGTGGTTAGCAAGAAGTGCGGACTATTGTGCATGAAGCAAGGGGGCGCAATGATTTGGCGAAATGTGCATTCTTGCTTTCATGAGCACAAGCACTTCGCACCTTACAACTTGCATGTGATTCATGATCGCAATGTGAAGTCACTATCCCGCCGGTGGCACATCATCTCAAACTCTGTCATGAAGTATTGCGGCGTGATTGCACAAGTGGAGATAAGGTGGACACCAGGCGCGTCAATGATGGGGATTGTAAGTTTTTCTTTTTATTGCTCTACATATTGATCAATACATTGATTCACTCAATGTTACAACTTGATAATCATCGTGTTGTATATCCCAAATGCACTGTCACGATGTACCACAAAATGAAGGGTTGATCATTCACTCCCGTACATTGTTGAATGAAGCTTAAGGGCCACAATGTCTGGATGACCAACGTTCTCGGATACTGATGCAATGTTGGACTCAAGTAACACTGAATTTGTATCGATGAACTTGAAAAACGTGTTGAACATCCGAATGTAATATTTATAATTGAACTAATGTTGCGCTAGGATACTTACATGTTATTTATGAATGAATTGTGCTATTGCTATTTCCTACAATTATTTTGAGTGCTTCGGACATAAGAAAAAAACAGAGACAAACATTTCATAGACAGGGTTGGATGGTCGGCTCCGTATTCATGTCCAGGCACATGAGTGTAATTTAGAGGACGGTGTTGGAGATGCCATTAGATCATCTCCAGGAGATCTCGTAAGCCAGGCAATCTGGCAAAATAAACTCCAGTTTACTGGATGGCGGTGATTTTTTCACCCCGAATAGATCCGGTATATTCGACCATCCGGATTTTTTTGCGAGGTCCTGCATATTCCAGGTCGTTTCCGTAATACATATGGGAATGGGGGCAATTTTTACAGGGACCTAAAAAATAAAAAATGATTGACGGGAGGAAACTTTCAGCTCCCGGCACGGTCTTCCATGAGCGCGACATCGCCGGAATGCCTCAACACGGGCAACCACCAGACCCTAGTTACGGCCCCGCGAGTTGCCCCGCTGCTCGGGCCACGAGCTGCGGCCGCGTGAGTGAGCTAGCTGATGCTTCTCGCCGCCGCTAGCTAGTGAGTTAGTTGTTGTTGCTACTGCCTGCGCTAGCTAGCTACCGATGTGAAGGAAATATGCCCTAGAGGCAATAATAAAGTTGTTATTTATATTTTCTTATATCATGATAAATGTTTATTATTCATGCTAGAATTGTATTAACTGGAAACTTAGTACATGTGTGAATATATAGACAAACAGAGTGTCCCTAGTATGCCTCTACTTGACTAGCTCGTTAATCAAAGATGGTTAAGTTTCGTAACCATAGACATGTGTTGTCATTTGATGAACGGAATCGCATCATTAGAGAATGATGTGATGGACAAGACCCATCTGTTAGCTTAGCATAATAATTGTTTAGTTTTATTGCTATTGCTTTCTTCATGACTTATACATGTTCCTCTGACTATGAGATTATGCAACTCCCGAATACTGAAGGAACACCTTGTGTGCTATCAAACGTCACAACGTAACTGGGTGATTATAAAGATGATCTACAGGTGTCTCCGATGGTGTTTGTTGAGTTGGCATAGATCGAGATTAGGATTTGTCACTCCGTGTATCGGAGAGGTATCTCTGGCCCTCTCGGTAATGCACATCACTATGAGCCTTGCAAGCAATGTGACTAATGAGTTAGTTACGAGATGATGCATTATGGAACGAGTAAAGAGACTTTCCGGTGATGAGATTGAACTAGGTATGAAGATACCGATGATCGAATCTCGGGCAAGTATCATACCGATGACAAAGGGAACAACGTATGTTGTTATGCTGTTTGATCGATAAAGATCTTCGTAGAATATGTAGGAGCCAATATGAGCATCCAGGTTCCGCTATTGGTTATTGACCGGAGATATGTCTCGGGCATGTCTACATAGTTCTCGAACCCGTAGGATCACACGTTTAACGTTTGATGACGCTTTGTATTATGAGTTATGTGATTTGATGGCCGAAGTTTGTTCGGAGTCGCGGATGAGATCATAGACATGACGAGGAGTCTCGAAATGGTCGAGAGGTAAATATCGATATATTGGAAGGTTATATTCGTACACCGGAATGGTTCCGAAGTGTTTCGGGTATTTTCCGGAGTACTGGGAGGTTACCGGAAACCCCCCCCCCCCCGGGGGGAAGTAATGGGCTTTAGTGGAAAGGAGAGAAGGGCCTCAAGGGTGGCTGCCCCCCCCCAAGGGCTGGTCCGAATTGGACTAGGAGGGGGTGGT